TAGTAAAGAAACTGAATGATCATAATAGAATCTTAATTTTCCATTCAAGTTTAAATACAGAAGATGTCAGATGTTAGAGCTGAGCTGGACTGCATCAATTTAAAAAACATATAAATTTCCGGGTAACAGAATAAATACTTCTGAGGACACCTGGAAAAAAAGCCTTCTGAAGATTGCAGTCTTTCTACTTCTGCATGCTGAGTGCCCCTCATGCAAGTTTAATTTCTGCAGTGATGGATATCCTGAGAGACAGAAGCTGTATTATAGACATGAAGATAAAACAATCCCTAGGTGAGAAGAACCAGTTTGGTCTCAATAACGCTCTACTCAGCACTGCAGGTTAAATCGATTTTATTAACTTTGCTAGTTAGCATAAATATAACCTTCCTGATTAAAATACTAGTTTGTCAAGGATCAGCCTCTCCTTACCTGGTAATAATCCAATACAATTTAATGACTGTTCCTGAGGAAAGAAAATGATCTCTCAGGATATTCCCTTTCAGAGCTGTTGCAATTCTGGCCCAAGCTTTTGTGCTGGTGCCATCTCCTTTGCCCTGAACCAAAGGCTGGGTCACATGAAGTGTTTGTTCTTCAGCTTTCCAGCAAGGAGAACACCGAGCACCATGAATTATGTTCTGTTCTGGAGCCTTTCAAATGAGACCATGGAAACTCAGCTCCTGCTCAGCACTGATGTGAAATAACCTAATCCTATAAAATGCTAAATCACTCTGGCAAAGCTCCTGAAATCCTGTTCCTCAGGATATCAGCCCTGAGTTATGGGGTACCACAGCTTGCCAAGATGGACCAGGAGCCCTCTTGCCCTGGTCCCACTGCAGGCTAATTGTGGCATGTTCCTGAAATGCTTCCAGAGAACTCACAGGAGCAAAGGACACAAGAATTGCAAAGCTCCATCCATCTTTTGGCAAATGCAGGAAAAAACCTGCATGGTCTTTACAAAGTGGGATCTGTTTGCAGGAAACCTCCGAGGACTCGTGTCTGGTAGGCTCCCAAATTTTGGCTGTGTATTTCAAAAACATTTCTTGCACTAATTCAGCATTGACAGCACTGGGTGAGATCCCAGCCCTTCAGCAGCTCAGCTGTTCTGCACAGAGGCCTGGAAACACCTGATTTTCAGCAAAGCCCACCAGCCCTGACTTCCTTGCAAGCCTTCCTTCTCAAAGCAGAAATCCACACAGATCCTTTCCCATGGAATGGAAGTGCTGGGTCCCAGCCGCAGGCACAGAGCAGAACTATTTGTGCTTGAAGAATAAACTGTGTCTTTTTGAACCAAAACACTGCTGCTTCAGCTATCCCCACCAAAAAGAGATTCTCAGAGTTCTGCCCCAAGGAAAGAGCTCGAGGGAGAAGAGATGCAGATGGCAACAACCAATCTCCTCACTCAATAAGCTACCAAAAAAAGTCCTTTGAGATAGCAAAAGTAAGGGCCAAGCAAAGCTCCACACAGATCAGAAAAGATGTGGGCATATATATTGGTGTGTGTATATTTAAAATAAATCTCTTCCTTTTATGCTCTTTGTTCAACTGTATTATCAAAAAAGAGGTTTTAAATACAAGCTTATGGGACTACTAAAGAGGTGAATTTATGAATGTATTCCTAACAAAACACACTCTGGAAGGCTTTAATCTATGAATTGTGACAACCTTGGACAAAATGGATTTTTAATAGAATATAATGTAAACTGCCTGAAACACTGTGATAAGGAATTTTTTTTTAAGTAATGCACCAAAAAGGCAACGATGCACTCCGCATGAAAGGAGGAAAGGTCTTAATTTAAAGCATTTTAATGGACACTCCATTTGCGTAGGGAAATGTGAGAAATGGAGATGAAAAGCTCATGATAGCAGTAACACTGCAGAGGGGAGAGGGAGAGAGATTAGAAAAGTAAGCAAATTTGGAAATGCTCCAGCTGATAAGCGGGGCTGAAAGGAAGGCAGACAGGATTAGAACATGTCACAGCCCAGAGTCACTGCTCCCCTTGCAGAGCTGAGCCCTGGCCAAAGCCCAAGTGCAAAGCTGAGCTGATGGGGTGAAGGGCACTGCAGAGCTCAGTCTGGGGGCTCTGCCTCACGGGGATCTCTCGGTGTCCCCGCACAAAGGCTGAGTGAGGCTCAGCCCCGCTGTGAACTTGGCCAAATCTTCCCCAGAAATAAGTTAAGCTCGGCTCAGAGGCTCAGTGCTGGCTTAGCTGCTGCTCCTCTACCAGCTGGGCGAGTCAGCAGAAATGAAATTAATTCCAAGAATAATAGCATCTCCCCCGAGGTGGATGTGATTCTGTTCACTGCCACAAAAGAGGTGGATCCTGCACTCAGACACAAACTGCCCTTAATGAAGCTCCTTGGACTGCTAAAGTGAGGAACACATGAACTGGGTCTAATGACAATTTTGTCACGTTGACCTTAATAGATGCAAGTTCAGGTCTCTGATCATTTAAATGCAACAAGAACTTCAATATAACACTTGACATTCTTCAAAAGAAACAGGAGGGCCACCATTATGACCAAAAAAGACAAATTAAAGGAAAGATCAAAGTTAAATATTTACTCTAAGCACTACAATATTTGCAAATCTGGAAGTGATCTTTCAGCAGTTTCTATTTGCATACTTTAATTAATCCAAAAATATTAAACTAATCTCACAAAGGCAAGGGTCAAAGTATTAATTAACTTGAGATGCATTCCTTTTGTGCAATTTAACAGTTCAACACAAAGCAAAACTCAGTTTTAATAAAAACTAAGTTACTGTGACAGGTATAATTTCATGGATTAGTGAAACCACATACAAGGCAATAAGTTTGAGTGCTCAGGCTATTTTTTTTTTTTTTGTCCAACTTTAAAAATAGTTCCTTCATTTTGATTTCAGTAACATCAGATGACCTTAATCTTCCTTTAACCTCAGTATTTCATTTTCAGACTGATGGCTTTCCACCTTGCTCTGAAGGGAACAGAGGCCACAGCTGTTAGAGGCAAGAACCTGATGGGGTTCACAGACCCTGCCCAGCCACCTGTTGCCTTTTCTGGACTACCTAAATATAGAGGCCAAGCAAAATTAAGGGAATAAAATGTTTCAATGTTTATTGAAGGGCCTTCAGGTACATTTAGGGTAGATGAAGCCCCCCAGGGGCTGCACCTAAAAATGGACCACAGGTCATGGGTTTCACTCTTTTCTAAGTTTGGTGCATTTGCACATTGGGGGTTAATCCCACAATTACAGCTTCAGCTAATGAAGGAATTTACCCCCAGTTTGCTGCCCCCAGCTCCCTTTTGTTTCCATCTCTCAGGCCGGAGGCAGTGAGGTGTCCCTGATTGCCAGGCCTGGAGAGGAATTGCTGTGTCTGACCCAAATGGGAGAACAGCAGCTCACACTGCACGTGGAGTTTGGAGTTACACACTAAAGAACTGCAGGATTACAAATATATGAATAAAATAAAAGCTAAAATCCTAAAGCATCACAGCACATGAGCCACTGGAGCTGAGCCAGGCTGAGCTCCCTGCTGGAGCCACCGTGTCCCCTCCCAGCCCCAGGACAGGCACAAAGGTCCCCCCTGAGCCAGACCCCCGAGCTCCCACCCCCCAAAGGGACTCAGTGGCCTCAGCAGCAGCTTTGGGGGAGCTGGGACACCTTGCCAGAGGACAAGGGCTGGGAGACAAAGTGCCAAATGCAGCAGCCCGAGCTCTGCTTTATCAGCCCATGAAACCCCAGAAAATAATGATGGAAGGAGGCTGGAACTTCCTGCATCCCCTCAGAATTCTGACTTACAAATGTGCTTAGGAAATAAGAGGGGTCTTCCCCACCTCCCCTTCTGTTTTCTTTCCTTTTTACTTTTCTTTCCTATCAATTTACTTTTTCTTTAATTGGGGAACAAGTGCATGGAACAGCTACTGAAGGGAAATTGCCTGGAATTCATGCCACGAGGCTCTGTAGCACCTCTGCAGAGACTCTGAGGGGGAATCTCCTCACTCCCCTCAGTGCCCAGCTTCACCAGGCCAATGTCTGTGTCCCACTGTCACCTCCACTCTGCCTCGCCACTGGAGACACCCAGGCACTTTTCCCTCATTGTTCACCAGGCCTGCTTCACACAGCCAGGAGAACTCTCCTCAGCAGTGCCTGTTGCTAAAAAGTCATTAAATATCTTCCCATTTAATATCTTTCCACATTAAACATCTTTCCACATTAAATATCTTCCCCCTCAACACTTCTGTGGCAGGTACCCAGGGCTGGATGGGATTCGTTTGCTCCTCAAATACAACTTCACAAACTAAACAGAGCAGAAACTCTCTCTGTACTCCAAACTTCTGACAATAACCTTCCTAGGTGTAAGCAATTACCAGCAGCTACTTTCTTCCCTTACAGGAGTTTTCAGAAAAAAGATGGATGCACAAGACTCTGCGAATAAAAATTCTGACATAAAGTTTTGTGATTTCCTAATTATTATACAGTTCCTAGCTAAATTTATGCAGGGTATACTTTAACTGTAGAGTAACTGCAGGATACTGGGGAGAAATTGCTTGGTTTTGTAAAATCCATAATTCTGACTAACAATTTCTCACTACTTTTGATCCAGCTGGTGGGAGCATTCCCATCACAAATGTACGGCACATTCCAAGGGTTCAGAGACACTCAGAGGTGTTTTTCAGCATTAATAAATAAGAGTGAATAGCTGTTACTTTCATAGCTTTCAAATAAAGGCTGTATCGTCCTATATTGCTGTCGACTGCTCCCCATATTTCTCTATTTTAGTTCATTTTTTCCTGTTGGCCCCTTGGCAACAGGAATTCTGCTGCCCTGCAGGGTCATGAAAAGCAGATGTGAGCTAGGAATGGGCAGCTGCCTCCGGTTTAATTCAATAACTGACTCCCAAAAGCTCAGGAGTGAAACAAAAGGGAGAACAGCTCTCATCAGATCACCCACAGGTTTTCCAGGGAGGCTGAGGAGGAATATTATGGCTCATGAGGGGAGTTTTGGTGTGTCTCTGGCTCACCTGTCCTCGGCGCCGGGGTCGTTGTGCACGCAGGTGAGCGTGGCCGTGGTGCTGGCGCTGTCCGTCTCCTCCTGCACACCCCACTGGTCGGCATCGCTGACCCTGATGTCCGAGATCTTCACACCTGGGGCCGTCCTGATCCTGTGGGGGAACAACAAGGACTGCCTTAGCTACAGACCTACAGACAAACCCCCAGATGAACCCGGGGGTGAAGGGAAATGCTCGCTCTCCCATCAGGAACAGACAGGTTCCGACCGTGAGTCACTCTGCTCTGAAAACATAAATCAGGCCCAAGCATTTTAAAGAGGTGAGGGATGAGTTTCATTATGTGCAAAACCAGTCAGCTTTAGCTGGAGCAATGTGGAGAGAACAAGAATGGTTTCTGCTGCTGTGGCACCAGTCTGATACAAATGAAACAGCTGTGATGAAGCATAAGGTGACTGAATTTGCTGTGTCTGTCCTGCAGTTTAAGATGGGGGAATAACAGCAATGTAATATAAAATACATCCTCCCACCTGCAAACCTTTGGGAGTGAGGTATCTCCTAATATTAGGGCAATCTGTGTGGAAAAAAATGAGTTTCATTGCTCAAAGACCATAATGCAGGAAGGAGAGAAAAGGAGCAAGTTATCCTGTCCTCCTGAAAGGAGTAAACTATCCTGAGGGAGGAGGATAATTATGTCATTGCACCAGGATCTATCAAACTGGGCACATCAGACTGCTGCTGCTGAAAATAATATGATGCTGACATGGAAAACTTTGATTTCCTGAGCATGGCTAGAGTCTGGGAGCGGTGTGGTAGCTGGTAAATGTCACCGGATTTTTGGCTTAAAAAAAAAAAACTTGCCAAAAATAAAAGTGCATGCTCCAGCGAGGCTCAGCGTTAGGAACAGATTGCTAAGGAATGGGAAACAAACTGCTTTTAATAGCAGGAACTTCATTTGTGCAGCTTGACTCCTGAAACAAGCCTGGGATTACAACAGGAGTGCTGCAAATATGCCTGGAGAACAATTAGGCAGAGAGAAACTGCTGCAGCGCCACGCTCGCCACCACTGTGACTTAATTAATTAAAAGCAAAGCCAAGAGGGACCTTTTAGTGATATGGTGGAATGAAACAGCACTGCTGGGACCTGGAGCGTTATTTAACAGTGAATTGTGATGGGTTTGCCCCATGCCTCATGGCCAGTTGGTGCTCATGTTACACCATTAAAAACTTCCTTGAAGCTCTCGCTGGGTCCGTGTGCTTGGATCAAAGGGAGTTCACGACTCCATGGGTGGTCTTTTCCTCCGAGAAGGAATTAATTCATCCTGCTTTTATGATATCCTTATTTTTGCTTGTAAGGCTTTACTGACTTGATGGGTTAAATCCATTCCTGGCAGAACCAATTGGATAAAAACTATTATCTGTAATAGAATTTTACCTGATATTTTTCTAATTGTCTCCTTCCTGCTTTTCCACAGGCATTCATCTCTCCCAACAGCACTCCTCAAAGCTGATGTGCCCTTTTCCTATCACCTCCTATTTTTTTTTCCAGCGGGATATTCACTTATTCCATAGTAATTACACTGGACCAAATAATTCCTGCAAGACACCTGCATGGCTTCATTTCAGACTGACTTGTAATTCACATGAGATAGAGAATTAGGCCCTCAGCAATGGATTCAGTATTTTCTTTTATTAGACTTAGTCAATCACTTTTGAAAAGAATCATTAGGGCTTGACAAAAAAAATCCCAAAAATCAAAAAACCCCAAATAAATCAAAGTACCACTTTTTAAATTTTCTCTTCCCCAGAAAAAAATTGTGTTTTTTAGAGAAATTCACCTCACCATTCTCTCAAGTTCTCATGTTTTTCTTGACAATGTGTCTGAAAACTTTGAACCTGACTTTTCACCCAGGTCAAATCCTGGTTGATTAAAGGTTAATTGAAGGGCAGGAGATGCTGGGAGGACACGCACGCCAGGACAGTTGGATCTCATCCACGATTTCAGGATTCATCAGCCTTTTCCCATCTGCCAGAAGCTCGTTATGTCCTCCTACACAGCTTTTGCACTGCAGATATCTTCACCCTTCAGCAGCTACTTTTGTCTGTTCTGAACCAAATCAAGGGAAGAAGAGGATGAGGAGCCAGAAAGAGGATGAAGAGCTACAATGAGGATGAGGAGCCTCAATGAGGATGAAGAGCTACAATGAGGATGAAGAGCTACAATGAGGATGAAGAGCTACAACAAGGATGAAGAGCTACAATGAGGATGAAGAGCTACAACAAGGATGAAGAGCTACAATGAGGATGAGGAGCTACAATGAGGATGAGGAGCTACAATGAGGATGAGGAGCTACAATGAGGATGAAGAGCTCCAGGACACAGTTCCTACACACCTGGGCAGGATTCAGGACCCCTGTGCAGCTCCCCCTGCAGCTGCTCCCCTTTGCCTCCTCAGTGGTCCTCACACAGAGCGTAAGGATGCAAGAGCTCAAACATTCCCTCTGCACACCCAGCTGCTCCAACCCCTTCAAACCCCACGCCACCCCAAAACTCTGCCCTCCCTCTTGCCTTGACCCCTCAGCTGCTCCCACCTCCCTGAGCCCTAAGAGCCAGGGAGCTCTGCTGTTCATCCTCGTGTGTCTGAGCGCAGGCACGAGATGGTTTTTGCCATCAGCTGAGACTCTCCTGCTGGCCCAAGGCTGGATTCCCTTCAGGGTGACCCCTGACAGGAGGCCCGGTGTTTTTGGCCGCTCACTGGGTGAGCAGTAAGTGAACAGCACTCGCTGCTCCCCAGCCACGTTTTCCAAAAGTGTCTCAGAATGCTGCATTTTAGGAAAAATTCCAGTCTAATCCCTTGCATTGCATCTGCTCTGGTGGGCTGAGACAAGATGTCATTTTGCATTTTTGGATATCAGTAGAGCCAGGAAGGTTGAAAGAAGGAAGAAACTACGTTCAGCTTCTCACTTGGGAAAAGTCAAGAAATTCAAATGAAAGCAGCCTACATATGGGAGGTTTGAGCCTACTGTTCCTCAGATAAGTGATTCATATCTTTAAATCTGCCCCCAAATTCCACAGGCACAAAAATTATTGTAAGTGTTGGGGACCAAAGCTTTGAAAAAGAGTAAGAAATTCCTACCAGAGCTGACATGAGCTGGAGAAAGGATGGTGAATGGCACGTGTGTGGGCCCTACGCTGTGCCAGGCTTCAATTAGAAGCTTGGGTGGATCATTTCATTTTCTTATACCTCCCTTCCCCACAAATAAAATACTGCAAAGTGTTGCTCTGCCAACTCAAAGGGAGCTGTAAGGATAAATGGAATTGCCTGAAAAAAAATCTGATGTCCTTTAAATTTGCCAGATGACAAAAAAATTCTGCCATCTCAGTGCATGAGACTGTGGAAAGGAACCACTGAAGTATTTCATAAAACCGTGACCCAATAATCAACTGCTACCACTAAGATGGCTTAATTACTTTTTCAGTAAAGATAATTCTGAAATGAGAGGGCAAATAAAGAAAAAAAGGAACAAAACATGACAGCCAATTGGAAATTTGGCAAAACAAACATTTCATTCCCATGAAATACTTGTTTTCTGAAAAGCAGAATTATCAGACAGAAAGGTGTCCTGTTAAAAGCCCACCTTTAAAACACTGCAGCGTCCATGGCATTTGAAAATGCAATTAGCAGGGATGTGAGGCAGGGATGCTGAGGGAGCTGGGCAGAAATTACCTTACAACAGGGCCTGTTTATTCGAGATATCACCTTAGGGGTGAGGGAGGTCCCACAGTAACGTTGCTGCCACTGTCCCTGTAAGATCTGCAGGGGATGCAGCTGGGGAGAGGTTCCAAAACTGCTTCAGAGTGAGCTCAGCCCCTCCTGCAGCTCCAAAGTCCCAAGGAGAAGCTGCCTGCAATGTAGATTTTGGAACACATTTGGTAGCCCTGGCAGGACTTTCCCCTGAAGAACGTCTCCCTCGTTTACTGTGGAATATCAAGGTACAAACGGGCTGGGCTGGGGGGAGCAGCATTCCCAGCCTGCCAACCTGGAACTCAGAAACTCTTCAAAAATGCAATCCCAGCCCAAAGTGTATTGACCCCGTGAATTGAGAAGAAACTTAAGGGCTGCAGGAGGGATTTAAGCACAGAGCACTTGGTGTGGGGAATTCCACAACCTCCCCAGTCAATTAAGTGTAAAATCTGAAAGGTAAATCCTTGCTTGTCACACACCCCAATCCTAGCAGCGGGAACTGGGAGGTAAAGTCTTGGCAAAAAGAACTTTAAAATGGAAACAGAAGGAAAAGATATTTAGGAAATAAAACAGAGATGTGCTCACAGCAGATGGGAAATGCTCAAAATGATGAGAAAAACTACTTTTTCAGAGCTATTTTAGAAATCCTCTTATCCCCTCCCCACTCCATTACAGGGGAAAGCATGATCTGAGTTAAATTCACTCTCAATGACGTAACAATAACAGTTATGATAAATTGCATTTGTAACTTCCAGCCATGTCTCCACTCAGCCCTTCCACATGCATTTTTAGCCCAATTAAAAATAAAGGCATTATCCTTTCCCTACAGGAAATCCAAGCTGTAACCAGTTTAGTCAACCTGCCCAAAATTATACTGTCTCTGCAGAGCCAGAATGAGAGTTGATCCATCCCAATTCCCAGCTAGACACCCATCCCCATCTTTAAGACAAAACCAGTGCAGAGCTGAGTAATCCCAAGCCCTCACAGAGCATTTAACACGTTTGCTTGCACAAACAGAAAGCAATTAGTTCTGAACAGGGTCCCTGGGGAGTTTCTAGTTAAAATACATGTGTTTTAGGATACATTAAACCAAGCATTAGAAATTAAAATCATCAGACAACATCTGGGGATTTCTGGGTGTGGGGAGATGGGCAGGGTTTCTGCAGAGGAAGGAATACAGGGATTCCTGCAGAGGTGGAGGAAGGAGAGGGAGTTGACTGCGAGATAGAAGCAGGTGTGTGGTTCACAGTTCCCACATCCAGGGCACTCTGTGGCATTTGGGAGGGAGCCACAGCCAGCCAAGAGCTCATCCCTGAGAGCTGTGAAAGCAAAACCTTTTGGGAAATGCTTTTAGAGCAGAGGGAAGGCAGAGCTGGAGCAGAGGGAGCTCCCCCAGGAGAGGCACCATCGC